TTGCTTTTTAAGTATTATAAATTACAGTATTTTGATTAAAAATCTTACTATAGTAGCAAAACAAATATTATAAGGTAGGCTTAGCTTACTGATTCCTTGTTTAGCAACCATTCAAAATTATGATAGTATTTAAAAAAAAGCTTTGTGACCAATCCTTGCTTTTATGATTGTCATGAATCCTGCAGTCACATAAAAATTACTTCAGGGCTGAGACTTCCAGTTTGCATCGTAGCGATGCAGCCGAGGGAATGCTGGGTTCTGCTCTTCACAGCTGATTTTGCCCTGCCAGGGGACCCTAAAAGGGTCCAAAGTCACCCTGGAGAGGTGATGAAGAAGGAGAGGATCCTTGTTGATCACAAAAATATGGCAGTCGATCCATTGATCTGAGGAAAGCCCTCCAAACAGGCAGAGGAAAGACTAGCTGCATTTCTGTGGCTAGACTGAAGCTACTGACAACCAAAGAAAGAAAGCACTAATTAGCAGATTGTAAACAGTGTGCTTGGAATGGGTGAGAATACTGATCCTTTCTCTACTACTTTGATAGTTGATTTTCTGGAAAAGACAAATTCCCAAAAAGCAAGAAAGTCCCCAAATGTGAGAAGGTAGGGGATTTCTGCCCCATCCTTCCAGAGAAACAAAAGTGGCAGCCCAATTCTTTTTGGGGGGACAAAAACAGAGAAGTGCGTAATACTAAAGTGGAAGTAATAGAAAAACATATCTTTGACAAACTCGAGAACTGGAAGAACTGTTAAGATTTTTCTTTTTGAAAGAATATTGGGGTGAAGTTTAAGAAACCTTAAAGTTTAAGAAATAATTTTTTGCTTTAAGTGTTGTAAAATGGATATCTAAGGACATCTAGTGTTTGAACAGGGTACAGCACTAATTGTGTTGTGTCTGGAGTGAACTTGGTGCGAAGCCCAGACATAGATAATTACTTAGCTTCTTTGATGTTCGGTGAAGCTCTTAGGTGAACAGAGAGCAGCTGGCAATGGAGAAAAACATTTTGGGCTATTCTCTGCATGGTGGGAGCTACAACTGTTTTGAAACTTGCTGATCCTCTTGGATTAAAAACATCAACTGAACTTTAACTTTTGACTTTAAGAATTATATATAGAGAAAGAAAAATTTGCCTTTTGGTTACTTTTGCCTGAGGGAGACTTATGGATTGATTGTAGGGTGGTTAGACATTTTGGATTACAAACATCAATTGATTGATAATTTTTGGATTCCTGGACAGAAGAATTGTTACAAAACATTGCTTTTGGTGGTGGATCTATGTTTTGGAACTTATTGGACTATAAAGGCTACATACAAAGATTATAAGAACTATATGAGATGATTTTAAATTTAAACTCAAATTTAATTAGTATATTGTTGTATTGAATATAAGATTGGTCGTGTTAGATAAGGCTAGCACTTGGGGAATATAATAGATTTCACAGAGTACTTGGAGGCTGGGAACAAAAATGAGTGCTCCACACCTAGCTAAAATTGGTAAAAAAAAAACCATCCCCAGCATCTGCCCCTGAAGCCCCCAGCTTGGTATATCAGAGAGAAAAAGCTAACAATTTCCAGAAGGAAATGCAATCTATACTGCAATTAATTCAAGAGGCAATTGTTTCACACAAAGAAGATTCAAGAAGAAACTATAATGAGACTAAAGGCAAAGATAAATGAGCAAGTTTTTAACTTAAACTCACAACTAGAAAACCTTCAGAAAATGACTATAGAGAATGAACAAGGTATTCAGAAAATAGAAGACAAATCAGAGGAAATTGATCCAAAGACGGAGGATATAAAGGAAGAAAATCACAGACTGATGCAGACAAAGAAAAACCTGGAAGACTCAGCGACAATACTGGAAATGGAAAAGGCATCCCATCGCTCAAGATTTCAGAACATACCTGAAGATAAGGAAGAAGACTTTATAGAATGGATTATAGAGCTTTTAGGGGAAATGTTAGAAACTGGGAAACAAGAAATGAAAGGAAAGCTGAAGGAGAAGGAAAATTGGAGTTTTTCAATGAATATAAATGCGTTGAACTCCCCCTCAAAAATATCTTACCTAAATGTTTTTTCCTATTTCAAATAGTACCCATAAAAACAGAAAAAAATGTTTTTGATGATTTAAATACACTGATTTGGAAATTTATCTGGCAAAGGAAGAAATCTAGAGTTAGATTAAAGAAAATAGAGGACTTGACCTACTGGAGGGAGCCCTATACTACCAAATAGGTGTGTGAACACAGCTAAAAGAAATAGATAACCTTTAGACACAAAAAGATCATTTTACTTTGAAGGATATGATTTACAATTAGGATGGTACACTTTTGTATGGTATGGGAAATATAAAAATATCAGGATGGCTTTTAACAAGAGAAGCTTTTGCCCACCTAAAACTTAATGTTGAGAAAATTGTAACCTATAAAGATATTTTGAATACTGAATGGAAATCAAGATTGAAATAAGAGTTGGAAGAACAGGGTATTGATTTAATAAGGTGGCCTCAATTGCAAATACAATTGAGATATGAGTTTGGCTAGAAAAGATGTTATAAACTGGAAATATTTTTATTAGGTATAATATTAGAAAAATGTGATGAGGAAGTATATACTTAATGTTGCATATATTGATAGTAGTAAGAATTGTATTTGCTTAGTGCTGGAAAAATGAAGAAACACTACCTGAAGAAGAGATGATCAAGAAAACACCAGCCTGTATAGAAATGGGCAGATCAATATTGAAGGATAAAGAAAAAGAAGACATAGAATAATTTTAAATATGAGATGTAGCTTATCATTGGCCGGAAAAAAGGGGTAGAGATTAGGAATTTAATATGTATTATTACTCAGACAACACACTGTTTTACTAAGCACTTATGATCTGTAAAAATAGAAAATAAATAAAATATTATAAAAAAGAGTCCTGCAGTCACATGATCATTCACGTGCTTTGCAACCAAAGTGTATTTATGACTATCACAGCATCCTTTCAACAAGGCAGAAGTAAAATTGTAAATCAGTTGCATGACATTTGACAATGAGAGAGAGAGAGAGAGAGAGAGAGAGAGAGAGAGAGAGAGAGAGAGAGAGAGAGAGAGAGTCTGTCATGGAAACAGGTTGGAATAAGTTGCAATGGACTAAGGAGCTGGCAGGAAGTTTTGTTGGGCTGAGAAATGGAATGAGAGAAAATGGTTAATGAGCAGAGTGGGATACAGGCAGTTTGAGACTGCTGAAGATATGCAAGTGATTTGAAAATCACTCAAGTTTATGAGAATCCATGGCGATCAACATTTTGCTAGCTATGGGAGAATGCCAGTTATTTCTTTTCCTATCATAAGGACCTATTGTATTGGGAGTTTAGTTGTAACTACAAACATAATAGCTTAAGCATGCACATTGACTTTAGAAGAAGCACTATTCTGTAAGCAGAGAAATAGTTAATTGCTGAACAGCAGAGCAATAATATTCATAAAACAATTAGGACTTTTATTACCAACCTGTTTATAACATATCCTGGGGTGGAGAACTGTTTATCTGCCTTATCTACAGGCCACTAACAGAGCCATGTAGCTATAATAGTCTTACTGTCAGAGAAACCATATGTTTTTCTAGATTTAAAATATCATATTTTTTTTTTTAAAATGAACATTTTCACAAGAAAGTCTCTGCATGCTGTTTGTTAAGTTTGACCCTCTCACCTACATCCAACATAAAGTAGCTAGTACAATTATGGATTTAAGTTACTGTTGCTCAGGCAAAAAATTGAGTTGAGACTCTGCTAGATTCTTTTAGACCAGAGGTCCCCAATCTTTTGGGCACCAAGGACTGGTTATGTGGAAAGAGGTTTTTTCTCAGACCGGAGAGGGCATGGTTTTGTGCGCTACCTGCATCCTGTAGATGGGGCTTTGCTTCTTTGTGCGGCCTGGTTGCTGGCATGCCGCGGCCCGGTACCAGTCCATGGACTGGGAGTTGGGGACCCCTGTTTTAGACCATAATGTTAAAAGTGAGAAATAATTCACCACTCTTTGTTATTCACTAAAAATAATAAATGGAAGAAAGTTGTTCTATATTGCTATAAGTCAGCTGTATCAAGAGATGTGTTCAAAATCTTCCTGTGAAATTCCTTCTTACATTTAAAACTTCTGGAAAGCATGCAGTGAATGCTCAGAGAAGTGTTTATTTCATGAGATTTACATATGGAATAATTGTGATATATACAAATATAATCTTAATAAAAAATCATAAATATAACTTCATCTTATTTATAATCTAGGTTTATTGTTATATTTCAACCTAAGCTGTGATTCCTACTGTACTGTTAAACAAGCATTGATGGCTCTGCCTTTATTCCTTTTAATGTAATAAAATCATCATGAGATGAGCTTTGGCTGTTCTACTTTTGGTTGATAAATATTATTTGCACATACCCAGTGCAATAAAAATACTTCATTTTTACCTCCTCTGTGGAAAATTCTGAGAACTGGCTAGCACCATGATGTGATAATACTGCATGTCATCACTAGGGAATGCATTAGTAAAATAATATTCACTCATTCAAGTTATCATATAAAGTCTTTATCACATCTTGGCTGAATGTTAAAATTAGGTCCTAAATCCAGGTATACTTATGTAGAGATTAATCTGCAGAAGAACCATATTGGTATCACTCTTAAGAGAAAAATGAAGCAGATAACAGCAAAATTCAGTGTTTTTTTAAATCAAAGATACACATGATATTTGCATTTTATAGCAATATACCTATTTATTTCCTCTGTAAATTGAGGAAATGTATAACTATATAAATTTATAGCTGTATATTTGGCATATTCTTTATTAGATAAGAAAATATAGTGACACCAACTATTCCTATAAAGAAGGGCTATTTTGTTTCCTATGGAATATCTTGTAGGGTTTTTTCCCCCTGTGATCAGTTATTTTAAAATATAAAACATTCTGAACAATAACTTGATTTCTCTTACCATTCTACTTTGTTTACAGAACATCACAGAATTGCATATCTTAATGGAGGTACTTGGCTGCTTGGAAACATCAATCAAGCTGGCTACTTTAGGGTTAACTATGACATTAGAAACTGGAGATTGATAATTGACCAACTAATGAGAAACCATAAAGTAAGCTCATTTCACTTTCTTGTCTGAATACATGAAACACTTCCAGTTTCTTATCATCCTAAGGTCTTTAATTTTTCTCCTCTACCTTTATAGATAATCTCTGTCAGTAATCGTGCAGGTTTGATCGATGATGCATTCAATTTAGCCAGGTATGTTCTTTGGTAGATAATCTAGCTTAATGCATATTCCTACAGCCCTCATATATTTCCCTTTATAGTGTACTTGTGCAGTTTGAAGTTGAAGATACTTTAAAACTCTTCCAATTTTCATCCCATTTCTTCAGGTTTCTGTCTTTTCATGATAGAGTACAAAAAAGATTCTCAACACTGCTTTCTCTATTTCTGCCTAAGAAAAACCTGAGAGTATTTCTGAATGCAGATGCTTGATTAATTTTCTTTAAGATCAGTTTAGTATTTTGAGATTAATAATCTGTTCCCAATTCACTAATGAATTATTTACCTTTCAAAGTCATCCTTGAGCAACATGTCATTTTTAATAATAAAACTCCTTTGAGCTTCAGAATTTTTAATGCTCTGTTGCAGATAAAATGTCTTATTTTACAGTAAAAGATATGCATATATTTTCACCCAGTCTGGAATGGTTTGAATGTACATGCAGATATTGAAACCAATTTTAGATGTGGCAGGTTTTGCATAACAGTAAATGCAAAGTAACAACTGCTAACAATTTATGAAAATAGCTATCATAATGTTAGTGATCAAAGTTTGTATTAACCAGTAAATAAGAACCTAAACTAATTTTAGAAGTGGCAGGTTTTGCATGACAATAATTGCAATGTAACCATTAGTAATACTGTAATTTATGAAAATAGATGTCATAATGTTAGTGATCAAAGTTTGCAGTAACCTGTAAATGTGAACCTGAAACTTCCTACCTGAAGAGAAAATGACATAGGGAAAAAAGGAAAAAAAAAATGGAAATAGCATGAGCAACAAAAAGTAGGAGACAAAAGTTAGGAGAAGCAGTAAGGTTACTGGCCACTATAGAAAGGGAGGGCACATGTATTGTAAGTGGCATTATTATTGCTCATCTTTCTTTGATCTCTACTATCATATTCGTGGCAATAAAGGCCACTCACCTTAGCAATAGAAGAATCTAGTTTGATTAAATAGTTTCTTTCCCTTGGCAACCACCAGTTCTTTCAAGCAAGCCTGCAAGCAGGGCTTACATACTTATTAGATTTTTATCCCACCTTTATTATTTTATAAGTAATTCAAGGTGGTAATGTACATAACACCCCATCCTTTTTTTATTTTCCCCACAACAACAACTCTGTAGATAGATTGGGCTGAGAAAGACAGACTGGGTCCAAAGTAACCCAGTCAGGTTCATGGCTAAGGCAGGACTAGAACTCACAGTATCTTGGTTTCTAGCCTTTATTCCTTAATCACTACACCAAACTGTCCATCTGACTTGAAAGTAATAATGCATTTCAGTGCTTTTTTGCTTCTCATGAATGTTAGTTTTCATGTCCAATAGTTGTTGATTCCTCCCTGAATCTAATGCTTTATATAAAAATGTGTTTGGAATTTCCTGCCAACCAGTTTTATGGGATGACTCATACCTTTAGCAGAAAGGGAAAAATTACTTTTTTGCCCTCCATGCTTAAGAGTTATACAAACATCAATTATATTTTTTTTAATGAAGCACCTAGTTTATTTTGCCAAATTTCATTGAAGAAAATAATTACTGTATTCTGTGGATATTCATTGATTATTAATAAGAAAAAAGATGGTTTCTATACTGGAACTTGGTTATCATGGCCAATCAAACTCTAATTTAGATATATTCTTGAAGGATGTGATTCATGATGGCATTTGACATCTCATGATTATATTCTGTTTCTCATGACCCCGATATACAGTACATGCTTTAGTAAATGTTAATGTGTTATTATTTTATTTCATTTAATTTGTACATTGCTTGGTATGCTATCCAGAAATGTATTGCATGAAATGCTTAAAAATAATAAAAGAGAACAAAGCATGTATTTGTGCTTTAATATATTAAAAACTAAACATAGTGACTATTTTACCCCTTTCGCTTCCAAATCTGTCTTCTTAAGATGCAAAGTGGGGTGGGTCCTTACAGCTGGTAAAGTTAATCAAACCAGAAATTAATATTGCTTTTTAGTACAAATTTCTACTTTTTTTAAAAAAAAATGTTCACTGTCATTACAATGCAACTTGAGCATTAAATGTTATGCTGTCTTTACAGCAGAGGATAAGATATGTAAAGTTTTATTTTATTTTTGTTTTGAAGTGTAGAATATTTATTTTAAAATTCATATACTTTTTCTACACCACAAAGTATGCATTATCTTTTCAATTTGCAACTTAATATTCTCCTAAATGTATGTTATATTAATAAAAAATATACCCTAAGGGATATTTAAAAATTTTACATAGCCTTAATTTAGTAAGCAGTTATTTCATAGGTATTTCTATTAAATGTGAACAAATTGTTTCTCGGTGACTTTCTAATGCAATCAGCAAACATAGAACTCAATTATTCTGCAATTATTGGAAATGGTGTTCTTGGTAACAGTTGATTTTTATATGGCAGATTTGTCAATTTAATACATTTTTAGTTTAATACTGGTAATGTAACTTTTCATAAGGATATAATATTAACTTGCATATTAATACATGAAAATTAAATTGCATCAATATTTCAGTACCCTTTTTGGCAGTTTACATTTTGCTGAATATAAGGGGTAGTTTTTAGATGAGATACTTCATGCATTCCCCTACAAGCAGGTGAATGAAACATTCCTCAGGAAGGATGGTTTGTATATAACAGTCGTTCTCAACCTTTTCTTTACCACGGACTCCCTTTAAATACCTTTTGTGGAAATGGGCCAGGGACTTAACTCAAGATTTAAATCATAACATTTCTTTAAGTCCTCACAGACCCCCTTCATGACACTGCGGTTCCCCCAGGGGTCCACAGACCACAGATTGAGAGCCACTAGTATATAATATAGGTCCTAGATTACTTTCCTAGGATCTCCAGATAGAAGAATCAAATAGCAAATAATGGAAAGATCTCTATCTGAAAGAATCACTGTTAGCATAAATTATACCACAATATATGGATGTAGGTACTTTCATACATATATGTGTATGGTTTTCTCACAATTTTTCTTATTTTCCATTGCTTTCAGTTTTTTTCTTTCACTGATGAAAGATGGCTGTCACCTCATTGGCTAATCAGTTATTTTAGAAAAAAATGGAATCTGTTGCTTATTGGTTGAGATTTTTAAGGCAGAATAGGAGTCCACTGGAGTAGGACAGCCAATACAGTAAATTTAAATAAATTAATACTTCTACAGGCTTCAGTTCAAAATGTATTTTGGAAACTTAGCTCATTGGAAAAGTAGGGTATTGCTCCGCCTGCCAAAGAAGGATTTTAAATAGCATTTTTCAGTTTCACTCATCTTAGTTGGATATGAGATGATTGATAGGAGCTATCCTTAAATCAGAATGATCCTTACCTTAGCTATTTCATCATAGCATTTTGGATAGGTGGCATGTTTGTGGTGGATATACTTACTTGAAGTCACTGCAGTCATATTTCATTGTCACCCAAGATCTTTTTTCTGTGTTTAAGTACAGGGTAGCATTTTCTTTTATGAACAGTAAACTGATTTATTTATTTTTAATAATCACATGTCTTTTTTTCCTTGTTTCTCCTTCAGTTGGCTTTTCCAACTTTCCCATCACATCTATTTTTAATTGTATTAGTGCTTTTAATTAGTCTTTCTTCTTAGTAATTCAATACCTAACATTTGTTCCAAATTTCTTTAAGTGTTTGATAATTATAAATAATGTATTATTTGTTATCTGCCTTCCTGCTTTTGATCTTGTAAGCAGTATCCCAGTTTGTCACTACTGATAGGAATATGTGAATAATGTTTAGTTTATTAAGGAATGTGGACATGATGTTTAGTGTATTTACCGCAAGCTTGAGGTTAGGCATCTTACTCAGCTTATAGTGGCAAAGACTTAGGAGCACAACAATAGTACTTAGGTGCTTATGGTCAGAAGAGTGTATACTGGTGTACACCGCTTAGAGAGTGCTTGCACTTAAAGCGGTATATAAGTCTCATAAATAAATAAATAAATAAATAAATAATGTAAAAATCGAAAGACTGATATCTATGACAGTTTCAGTGGTTTATATATTTATATATTTATAACAATCCAATATCCTAAGTTTTATTTCCATTCTAATGAGGAAATAAAAAGAGCATGGCTGCTTTTTAAATTCTGATCATAAAGAAGATAACTAAAAAGGAGCCTGATCCAATTTTTTGTTAATTTGGGGAAACTTAATCTGTCACTAGTTGAGTTCCAGTGGGGGATAAGCCTTGAGATTGGGTCTTGGGTTTTGTGAGGAGGTGATGTGTATTCCTGAGTGAGAGTTAGGAAGAGGGAATAAGTGGGATGGGCACCACCAATTAGTGGGAAAAGCCAGTTAAGGTGGACTAGTGAGATGGGAATGAAATAAGTGGTTTAGAGGTTCTGATAGTACTAAGAATAATAACTAGATCAGGGGAGGTGGGCTTGCCACTATCTCTGGGCTGCTAATATGATAGTTTATGTGCAAGAACAGATGGGGGGATCCTTAGTTAAGGGAGGTGGGAGACTAGAACTGGGGGAAATGAATTCTATGAAGGGCTTAGGCAGACCAATATATTGAGTTGGGATTTCTTTCACCTTTCTGCCCTTGCCCCCACCTGTGGAACATTTTGAACCTGGAGGTGGGGTTGCCCTCCACTCATCTTTTAGAAGAGCATTAAGATTTGGCCTTGCCAACTAGCATGGGGATTCAGTAGTGGTACACAGCCCAGGGGGCAGTTGGTGGTTTGAAGATGCTCTCTCTTTTTATATATTTCACACAGATTTTTATAGTCTTCTTTTTACTTGTAAGCCACATAAAATAACTTACCTCTTCACACTTGTCTATTGTTCCTGGCAATTTAATCCTATTCTGATTAAAAACAAAAGGTTATATGGGCTTCATGTGCTTATGTTTTTTCCATGCTGAAAAACAGGAGGCAAAGTTCCAGTTTATCAAAATATTACTCCAGAACTTGAAAAAAATCATGATATCATAGTTAAAATTCCTTTCCAGTAGGATAATATTGTAGATAAATTTGTAGATAAATTTTCTGTTTAATTAAACTTTAGAAATATTTGGAATGGACCTGGTATATCATATGAAAAATGCATTATGTTTGTTTTTATATCTATGATATTTTTGAGTTTTGCTTACATTGCTTATTGCTTTTGTCTCTTCTTTATGGCTTTGGGTTTTTCAAGTTTTTAGATTGTACTACAAATGCTTTAAGTATATTATTTATACTGTAAAACTGCCAGGGTCTTTCTTTTAAATTCTAGTAGGGTAGAAATGTGTCAGAGAAATAAAGAGATAGAGAAATAGAAGGATGCTATTAAAAAAAGAGTTTAATTGCTTCAGAACAATTTATCTTCAAGGTTGATGAGGAGGAGGTAGTAGGGTAAGAATCTGTTTTCCTTGCATGCTAGTGATTTCATTTTCGGGATAAAAACATATGAATGGTCACTGCTAGCAGCAACATATTTTAAATTTATTTATTGTATTAAACATTTGTTTATACAATCCATCTTTATTCTTAATTGGTTGCTCCCACCACTCCTCTTCACTTTTTTTTTATTAAAGCACTTGCAAGATTGAATCTGATTCATGAAAATTGGAAAGACTGATCTATGAAGATTGGATGCTTTTGTGAGGGTTCACAGGAAGGGATAGTAAAAAGTTGTAAAAATATTTTACAAATTGAAAAATCAGGATTTTAAAGAACAAATAGTCAATAACACTTACAACAATATTGCTTCACTTTTAATCCCTAGGAATCCAAATTCTTAAATAAAATATTAGGCAATACAATCTACTTGGGCCTTAAATGACCTATGTATTTTGCCTCAAGCTTTGCCTATAGGAAGGCTAGCTCAACAATATTGTCATATATCCTTCTCTACTTTCAAGTTTTAGAAAAGTATATATTGTCCATGTATTTAGTAGTATCTTATCCTCAGATTGGATCTCTGCCCTCAATATAATCCAGTTATTTACTCTGTCACGAACAAATCATTATCACACATGACAACCTAAGAATGCACACTCAGAGAATATATACTCCTCTCTTTTTTTCCAGCAAAAGAAGTTGAAGGGAATATGTTTGCATTGGGAAAGAAAGAAGAAAAAAGGAAGAAAACAACTAGATTGGGATAAGGCAAGGGAAGGAAGGAAGGAAGGAAGGAAGGAAGGAAGGAAGGAAGGAAGGAAGGAAGGAAGGAAGGAAGGAAGGAGGGAGGGAAGGAAGGAAACAGTTTTTCTGAATACAGCTGTTTGAAGACAACAGGATTTTTTTACTGAAATAATCAAATTTTGAAAACTTTGTTACTCCAACCTGTGCTGTTTTCATAGAGATGAACACTTGGATATCTCACCTGCAATCTGTGGAAAGTCAACATATTTTCCATCATTTTGCATACCATACAAATATTCTAAAACAATTATCAGTTTTAAAGACTTATCAGTGAAGGTATAGAAAAACATCTAGACTAAATATATGTATAGTAACTCAAATGTGGAAACTTCTGAATCACATGAAAATCCATAGGCCCGTATCACTGAAAATGTATATCAGCATTCAGCCAGATGTATGGAATGTGTACTTGATGGCATAGACAAGGCTGCACTCCACTTTCTCCCCCAGTGTTTTGTTTCTGCTGTTAGATTTATGAGAAAATAATTCAGAATGGATTAAATTCAGACTGTCCCTGGGCAATTGCACTACTACTTGGTATTTTGTCTGAGGAGGGCAAAATCAATGTTCTGGAAAATATTTGTGAGCTCAGTTTCTGAGTGTATGTAAGCAAAGTATGTAAGTATGTAAGCTGAGAATGCAGCTGCAAAACATATAAATGTCACTTTAAAATTGGATATGCAACTGTAATTGACTCTTTTAAATCTATTATTAAGGATAATCAATTTAATCTTTTAAATCTATCATTAAAAATAATAGTATAAAATATTAAATTATTTTATATTATTAAATAATATATTTAATAATATAAACATTATTTTCTAAGTGACCAGCTTAGATTGATCATTCATCATCATATTATAGTTTTTAAAATTTATTTTCTTTAGTATTTGTTTTAATTGTACAATTGTACAAATTTTAAAAAGTTCCTTTTCTTCTCATACAGATCACCCAAAATCTTCCTGATATTTTTAGTGATGCTACCTAATATATTTTAAATATATTACTCTATTATCTTGAGCAACCCTAACCCTAATCCTAACATAAGGTATTTTAAAGAAGCATCTTTATGATTATTACAGAAAATCATAGAGCAAGATTGAATTTCAAGCAAGTTTTCATACATAATTAGGAAATTGGGGATAATAACTAAACACATACTATTTTCCTTTTCTTTTTTTTTCTTTTTCATTTTTCCAATTTACAAAATGATAAACATTTTTCTTTTTTTAACAGTACTGTGTCATGTATCTCTTACAGTTATTTACATTTATTGCTATACATTTTTATTTCTCTGTTCTAATCAATTATACCACTTATCCCATACCTCATAAAATTCTGTTTCTTCCTTGCCTTTCATTTCTAGCATAAGCTTATACATCTTGGCACATTCTAATATCTTATGGATACTATTTTCCTTTTCTAACATATCATAATAAAGGCAGCAAAGCTATTTTGGAGAATGGACGTTACCAAATTGAAAATGTTAAAAATAATATTAACATTATTATGTAACATGAAAAGTGATCCTAATTTTTCCTTTGCAGAGAGAGGGGGGGGTGTCTATATTTCTAGCATCATCAGGCATTTTGCCCCCAAACAATAATTATAACAATGTCTTTATACAGGGCTGGCTATTTGCCCCAGAATATTCCACTTGAAATTATTAGATACCTGTCAAAGGAAAAGGAATTTCTACCGTGGCATGCTGCTAGCCGAGCTCTTTATCCTCTAGATAAGTTGCTGGATCGCACAGAAAATTACAACATGTTCAATGTAAGTAAAGATAAATATACATCTCTTTCTTTTTATCAATCACTAACATGTTCTCCTCCCTACAAGAACACTATATATCAATCAAGGTGAATTGCAAGTGAGTTCCGGAGTAGGCAATCCCTACCCTCTAGATAATTTGTATCCTCCTATTGTCCTTTGAAATTAGCTGTACTAGCTATGCATGGTAGAAGTTGACATTCACAACTAATTATTGGAATATAAATATATATAAATATAAATACACTATGCTATACACAAAACTTCATGTGCTGTTACATTCTGGATCAGTTGAAACTTCTGAATGTTCTTAAGGAGAACTTTATTTGGAATACATTGCAATAGTCCAAATAGGAAGTAACTAAGGTATAATTATCATGAGCAGAACCTTTTGATTTTGCACACCAACTTTAACTGGGTAAATGCCACAATTTTTAGAGTCAAAGTTAGGAAATCTCCAGATTCAAGGGACCTATAAATCCATAGCCACAGTCTTTCTAGAATTAAGCTAAAAACTATTCTACACACTCTCCCCATCCAAACCAGTGCAATCTCTAGATTTTGGGAAAGAATCTTGATAGTATTATCTGGACAATTCAGGGCAGGGATGTAAATTAAATAACATCAATGTTCTGATGATTTCATGCCAATAAAAGACTTAAGCCAAGTGATTTCATATCAGTGTTAAACAGAACTGGGCAAAAGCACTGAAGTATTCTGTAATGCAAGGTCTAGAGGAGGATCTCTTTCATCAACACTAACTAGAACCAGTCTAAAAAAAAGAGAACAACTGTAAATCTTAGTCCTGTACTCGAATCCCCTAAGGATACTATGATCAGTGGAATCAAAAATGGATGAGAATTGCATCCAAAGCTTGTGTGATCAGTGCCATCTCACTACTATAGCCTGGTCTGAAACCTGACTCAAAAGTGTCTAGATAATCACTTTCCTCCAGAATGTCTAGAGCCAAGGTCTGCTTATGTCTTTTTATCTTCAGTTATGCAGCTATGTAAAGATTATCCATTCTTACGCTATATTAATGTAATACAAAATGTTTTTAAAAAGTTATATTTTGCTTTTAACATGCTGGTTGTAATAACGAAATTGCAGTATGATTTATTGATGAAAAAGCCACATATTATAATGATGTAGAAGGTAAAGAGTCAAAAGTAGAAAATTGTCACATTGTCATTCATTTAAAAATGCCAACAATTTAAAAGGACACTGAAAGGCAGACCTCATTAAATTGTCTAATCCTGATATGCAGTTCATATTATTCAATATTATATCAATTGGGTGAGTCTTTATAGTGATTTTGCCACTCTACCTATACATCTACACCTCTAAAGACAGAGAAACCCATCAATTTCATCACAATATGTGGCCCAAATCTGTCACTTGTAAATATTTAATAATGGACATTACTGAAACATGTACTTCCAAGTCAAGGATAGCCTGCAATAGCAAATATTTAACACATTTAAGCACCAGGAGCTTTTCAAGTATTTTCATATTGAAATTAGAAAACTTGTTCCAACGTTCAGCCCTTTCTAAAGATAGTTATTTCAGAAAGGAATCCAGTTTCTATGAAGGATGCAAGAAATTTGTTCCATTTTCTATTTTCTTTCTGCAGCACTTTGTACCTCCTGAAATCTTGAATGGATTTAACAATCTAACCATGAACATTAATTTTTCTGCAGAAGGTTGTAGTAATAAGAATAATCAAACCAAAAATCCAAATTCCAATATTATATGCAGACCTTGTAAAGAAAAAGATGAAGCCATAGATCACATAATTAGTGAATGAAGCAAAAAAAATATATCTCAAACTGATTATGAACAATGTTATGACAAGAGTAGCCACCATGAGGCATTGGTAGCATTGCAAATACTATAATTTCTGACTTTCCTGAATGTGGTACGAGCACAAAATCAACACGCTAAAAATGATTATAATTTTTAAGGAGACGTTGATGTACAAACCAATCTATATCTAGAATACAGCACTTCATGTATAATACTAATTGAAAAGAATAATTTTTAAATGTGACAATAACCAGGAATTGAGAAAAAACAATTGGAAAAAAATTAAGATCCATAAGATAGCTGTGATACTGGGAATAGAAATTTAAGGTAGTCTTGGTCAGAAAAAGAAACCCACTCAATCACAGCAGTTATAAAATGTGACCTTCATCTTTTTATTAAAAAAAATCAATATGCAGGAAAGGAATTTATGCATAATGTAGACTGATACATTTGTTTGGTTTGAACAGGATACAATATCTGTATTGATTATGAAAATATTTAATGCAGATACTTTTTTGCATTTCAGGAGTACATTTTGAGACAAGTTGTTTCAATGTATCTAAAGCTGGGATGGCCAACGAATAATGTGGAGAAATCTTTGGTTCAAGCTTCCTACCAGCATGAGTAATTCTATTTTTTTTTTATATTGTTGCAAAATAGCCTTAATGAACTGAATTCCCTAAACTTAATTCAACGTGGTAATCAGATTTAACTTTTATATCTTTTGTTTATTTGGCACATGAATTCATTGGAAGGCTTAAATGAATTTTTTAAATTCATATTGTGTATTCCCCATTATGATGTTGCCTCTTTTTTCTAGAATTTCAAAGAGTCATTGTTTCTAATAGTAAATTAATTCTGACTACATTTTATAATAGAACCTTTGATAGATGGAGGTGCTTCATGGCCAGAACTTCTGCTCCATCATTGATTATTGTTGTTTAACAATTGTTGAACAATTGTTATAACATAGTTCATATGAATGTCCTTATTAGTTTTGATAGTGTTTCTCAAACATGGCAACTTTAGATATGTGGGTTTCAACTCCCAGAATTCTTTAACCAATCATGCAGACTGGGGAATTCTGAGAGTTGAAGTATATACATCTTAAAGTTGTCAAGTCTGAGAAACTTTGGTTTAGATCTTCGCAACAGTGGTGTATTTTCCCCTGAGAATCTGAATATATTTATTTTTTTTTTATTTATTTTTTAATTGAAAATTTTTAGATTTTACAAAACAATACAAATCCCTTCCCCGAACCCCCCCAACCCTCCCCTACCCTCCCCCAACCTTCCCAGAGCTGAATACAGGCTTAATTAAAAAATTTTCAAAAAGTCTTAAAACAGATATAAACCATAAACAAGTCTAAATACATTGATTAAACAAGTCATGAAATAGTTAGTAATAATATATATATATATAAACAAAAATACAAGGAAATACAAGAAAATAGAAAAAAAGAAAAAGAAAAGAAGAAAAGAGAAAAAATAAGTCTAAAAAGTCTATAAAGTCTATGAAATATCTTAAATTTTAAATATAAGTTATTGAAAAGCTAAGTGATATTTTTTTATATCCAACTTATATTGTATAAAGTCTATCCATTTTTTCCATACCAAAAAATACTTCTCTTGCGATTGGTCTTTCAAGAAAGCCGAAATCTTTGCCATTTCTGCCAAATAAGAAACTTTAAAAAACCACTCTTGCAAGGTAGGCAAAGATTCCTTCTTCCAACATTGCCCTACTAACAACCTTGCCGCTGTGATTAAATTTAACATCAATATAATCTCTTTAGTATCACAATCAGAAACAATACCTAACAAAAACAATTGTGGGGTAAATTTTACCCTTCTTCTAAAAATTCTTTGGATATTCCACCATATCTTAATCCAAAAAGCTTTTATGTTTTTACATGACCACCAAATATGATAATAAGTAGCATCCAAACATCCACATCTCCAACATTTAGGCTGTAAGTCAGGATACATACGAGACATTTTTTGTGGATCAAGGTGCCATCTATAAAACATTTTATAAAAATTTTCCCTTAAATTTTGGGCTTGTGTAAATTTAACATTCCTCACCCAAATAGTTTCCCAAGTATCTAATAGAACCGGTTCTTCAAAATTTTGTGCCCATTTGACCATGCATTCTTTAACTAATTCTGCTTCTGAATCCAATTCTACTAACACCCCATATATTCTCTTAATATGATCTTGTCTTTGATCTTTTATTTGTTTTAATAAATTCTCATCTTCTCTAAGTAAACCCACATTACAATCTATCTTCCACCTCTCCACTATTTGTCTATAATAAAACCATGAATAAATAATATTTTCTTGTATTAAATCTTCCAAGGATTTTAATTGCCAATTTTTACCATTCCATCTAAGTAGTTGTGCATAAGAAACACTATCCATCTTGACTCCTCTCCTTATCCCTTCTATCGCATGCCCCGGTATAGCCCATAACGGAATTTTAAAATCACTTCTAGAATATTTCCTCCAAACTCGAAGTAAGGAAATCCTTATAATATGAGATTTAAAAACCCTATCAACCTTTTTATTAAAAATTAAATAGGCATGCCATCCAAAAAGTAAATCCCCACCCTCCAAGAGGAGTATTTCTACATTTGTTAAATTAACCCAATCACTTACTGATGTTAAAACCACAGCGTCATAATACAATTTCAAATTCGGTACCTTGAGTCCACCTCTCTCTCGAATATCCTGTATAATTTTAAGTTTTACTCTTGGTTTTTTCCCTGCCCAGATAAATTTGTTAATACCTTTCTGCCATTCATTTAAATTAACCTCATTCTTTAAAATAGGTATCATTTGAAACAAAAAAAGAAACTTTGGCAAAACATTCATTTTGATCGTCGCAATTCTTCCCAAAAGAGATAATTGCAACTTCTCCCAATTTTCCAAATCTCTTCGTATATTGACCCACAGCCTTTCATAATTGTTTTTATACAATTTTGCATTAGAAGCAGATAAAATAACCCCCAAATATTTTACCTTATTAACAACCTCAAAATCTGTCAACTTAACCAAAGTCTGCTTGTCCAAATTAGTCATATTTTTAGACAATATTTTAGTCTTATTGTTATTTATTTTAAAACCCGAAACCTTTCCATACTGATGTATTAATTGTAATAACTCTATTACAGAATGAGTAGGTTGAGATAAGGTAACCACCAAGTCATCTGCAAAAGCCCTTAATTTGTACTCTTTTTTATTAACTTCTATTCCTTTTATTTGCTGTGATTCTCGAATTTTAATCAACAATATTTCCAAAGTTAAAACAAACAGCAATGGTGACAATGGACAACCCTGTCTAGTCCCCTTCTCTATTGCAAACACCTCTGACAAACCCCCATTAACTATAAGTTGTGCCGTTTACTTTTGATAGATAGCACCAAAAGCTTGTAAAAATTTTTCTCCAAAATTCATTTTCTCAATTAATCTTAACATGAATTGCCAATTCAGCTGATCAAAAGCTTTTTCAGCATCTAGAAATATCAATCCTACAGAAACTTGATTGTTTGTATCTAAATATTCTAATAAATTAATAATCTGTCTGACATTATTCTTCATGTACCTTCCGGTTATAAAACCCGTTTGGTCCATATGTATTACATGATGCAAAACCCTCATAAGCCTGTTAGCTAAGATTTTCGAAAAAATCTTATAGTCTACATTTAAGAGAGATATAGGTCTATAATTCTTTGGTAAAGTGAGGTCTTGATCTTCTTTTGGAATCAAAGATATAAAAGCTCTACCCCATGATGGGGGAATCTCTGAACCCTATAGTATATTATTAAAAAGCTCACTTAAAGGTTGAATCATCTCTTGTACCAATGTTTTGTAATAAATAGATGTCAAACCATCCATACCCGGTGCCTTACCTAATTTTAATTCTTTAATTACTGTCTCAATCTCCTCACTGGTAATCAAACCATTAATTTCTTGTTTCTGATCTTCTGTTAATTTAAGAAAGTTGGCTTCATTTAAATAATTATCTATATCTAAAACCTGTACTTTAGTACTCATATATAATTTTTGGTAATAATCTAAAAAGGATTTCTTAATCAACTCCTTCTGATATACCAATTTACCATTATAATTTATTTTATCTATAGTTCTCTGTCTCTGCTTCTTTCTCAATTGATAAGCCAACCATCTCACTGGTTTATTAGCATTACAAAATGTATTTTGTTTCATATACAGTAAATTAGTTGCAGTTTGATCAGCCATCAACATATTAAATTGTGATTTAAGCAATTTTATGGATTCCTTAACCTTCTCATCTGTAGGATTTAAAATCAAAGCTTTTTCTTTTAATTTAATTTCATTTTCCAACTCCTTACGTTTCTGCATCTGCTTCTGTCTATAAACATTGTTCATTTGTATCAAGACCCCACGCATGTAAGCTTTACCTGCATCCCAGACCATTGACATTGAAGTTCCCTTATACGTATTTAAAGCAAAATAATCCTTTAATTGCTCCTTTAACTTTTGAACATTCTTTTCTTGTCTAAATAAATTTTCATTCATCCTCCACGATCTCCTCTCCTCTTTTTCATCAGCCAATTCCATCCAAACTGGACTGTGATCCGTCAATGTCCTGGGAAAATTTTTAACATTCTTTACCCTAAAATATAAATCCGTCGAAATAAAAAAAAAAGTCAATTCTTGAAAAAGATTGATGCCTATTCAAAAAAAAAGTGAAGTCTCTCTCCTCCAAGTTATGTTCACGCCAATAATCTCGCAGCTCCCAGTCTTCTTTCAAATAAAAAAAAAGCTTTAGGTAATTTAGCCTGTTTAAAAGAAATAGAGGATCCTTTTTTATCTCTTTGTGTATCTAACACACCATTCCAGTCTCCCATTAATATAACAGATCTGTAATCCAACAAAGTTAATTTTTGATGTAACAGTCTGTAGAATTGTTCCTGTTGTTCATTTGGTGCATACAGTCCCACTATAAGTACTTTCTTACCATACAAGCTCACTTCAATCAAAACATATCTCCCTTGAGGATCAGATTCTACCAAACAGGCTGATAAGTTTTGCTTAACATAAATAACTACTCCCCCTTTTTTCCCAGGAGCAGAAGATACAAAATAAGATCCCAGACGAGCATTGACTAAATATTTTTGATCTTTAGATATAATATGTGTTTCTTGCAAGCAAATAATATCATTACTATGTTGCTTTAAATAATGAAAGATTTTCTTTCTCTTTTGAGGGGAATTGAGGCCATTAGCATTCCATGTCAGGAGCTTTACCATCTCTCTTAACCAGAAGCCTGGAGAAGACTGCTTGGAGATCTGCCATTGAAGAATGTGCTGCAGAGCTCTTAGGTCTTGCTCCTCCCACAGGCACCGAAGCAACTTCTTGAAGAACTTCTTTAGCTTCTTTCTTCTTTTCCTTACGTCTATGTGCTGCACGAGTCATTCTTTGCTCTTTAATCTCTGCTTGTTGCAGCCACTCCACCTGTGACTTTCCAATATCCATCAATACTACTTCTTCAGACTGCTGTTCCACCTCTTTGCCATCCAAGGCTTTCTGCATCATAGGTGGTGGTGAGCCTGCTCCCAGGACCGACTTGTAAAACTCCTTTGCTTTAGAAACTGTATTAAGTCTATAATGCATCCCCGCATGGCTCCCAACAATTCCCATTGGAATCTCCCATCTAAATGGCATCAATCTTTTTTTAAGATCATTAGCTAAAAAAGCAAACTCTTTTCTCCTTCTTAAAATTTTAGATGGGATCTCCTTTAAAATAATAACATCTTGAGCAGCAATCTGAAATCTCTTGTTATAAAAAGCTTGTATAATTTCATTGCGCAGAGATCTCTTTCCAAAACAAATCACCACATCTCTTGGTAAATTTCTCTGTTGTGCAATCCAGGAATTAACTCTGAATATCTTTTCAACTTCTCTGCGTATTTCCTCTTTCTCTCTATTCAAAATAACAGCAAAGTCATTTACCACAATCTCTCTCAAATCTTGCTGTATGTCTTCTTTCAGACCCCTGATTCTTAAAGCATATTCCATCTCTCTATACTGAGACATAACAATGTCATCTTGTGAAATTTCCATCTTTTTTTCCATGCCTTCAAATTTGTCTTCCAGAATATCCACCTTATCTGCCACCTCTTCCACTCTAGAATCCAACTTCTCCACCACAGAAGCAAGTCCTGTTAAGGCCATAACTATATCTTGCCTCAAGATAGTATTATTCTGCTCTAAAAGCTCCTTCATTTCCCCTCTAATTTGAGTATTATTTTGCTCTAAAAGCTCCTTCATTTCCCCTCTGATTTGAGCTACAGCATTTCCCATTATATCTTTCATGTCTTGTACCGTTACTGCTGGCAAAGGAGGAGAGGGTGGTGGTGTAGCTTTAGGTTGTTGTACCGGTAAAATCACAGGAGAAGAAGCCACCTTAGGTACTGTAGAAGTTACTTGCCTCTTTGAAGCCATTATCAAAAAAAAAATGTTATTTCTTCTTTCCTCCTTCTTTAAAAAAGATAAAAAATAAAAAATCCCTTAAAGGGAAAGAAAAATAACAAAGGAGAGTTTAACAAAAAAAAAAAATCTTCCCAAAACACCAATCCACCATAAGAAAAAATTTAAGGAGAAAAAAAAAACCATCTAATCCATAACGTTCCATTTCACTCCCTTTTTTTCAAAAAAAAAACCTTTCCAATCGCCATTTTACTTTCACTGTCCACACAAGAAAAAAAACAAAGAAAAAAGAGAAAAAGAAAAGAAATAAAAGTCAATCTTTCAAACTAAAGTCCAAATGAAATCCAATAAAAAAATCCTTTATCCAACTCTGTCCGCTTTTTTAAAAATAACTCACCCGGTCCCTTTAAGCGCGGAGGTGGTAGCGGCGTTTTGCTTTGTTCCCAAAGGAACAAAGACAGCTGGGAGGCGGAGGCAGCCCGAACTCTGAGGGAGCTCTCTTTTCACCTCCCAGGGAAAAATTCCTGGGGGTTTCAAGAGGTTCTACCTCTATTCAGGTGATACTCCCCTCCCCCCCTTCACCCGGGAGGGAGGTTTTGAGCCGCGGAACAGCTGGTGCCTGCTGTTCTCCGCGGTTCTCACGCTTTCCCAGTAGGACGGCTACAAAGTAGCCGCCATCACCGTCACTAAGCCACCGGAAGCTCAATCTGAATATATTTATTAACATCAGGTTAATGCTAGTTTTGTTTGTCTTTGGGATACACAGGGAATTCCGCCGTGAAGTGATCATGCTGGCATGCAGCTTTGGTAACAAGCATTGCCACCAGCAGGCTGCAACTCTAATCTCTGACTGGATCTCCAGCAATAGAAACAGGTAAAAAAATGACATCCTACATTACTCCTTTTCCATGTAAAGATTGTTTCATCCAAAATTATTTTTACTATAGAGTGTTGTGCTCATGCATGCATATTAATAATAGTTGGAAGGAAGATATTTTGTGCAAGAAAAATGGTGTGTGTGTGTGTGTGGGGAGAGAGAGAGAGAGAGAGAGAGAGAGAGAGAGAGAGAGAGAGAGAGAGAGAGAGTTGTTGCTGAGAATCTTAACACAAGTGTTAAAGTACCACCTCCCATGGTATTAATGCTGATGTAAAATCAGGGTGCAGGGAGACTTTCCAGCAGCTGCAATGATAGAAGAGAAAAATCTCTTTTATCCACTCCAAAAGCCACAGTAGAATTTTTCCAAAGTGCTCTAAGCTGGCTCAATCACATTCACTTTTAGATTTCCACCATCTCTAGATATTTGTTAAGCCACTTTATAACCTGCAGCATCTTGGTGACCCAAGTAAACCCATGAACTCAGAACACAACCAAAGATTTCTTAGTAGTAAAGCAATCCTTCCAAGGCCTCTACCAATTCTTTTTTTTTTATTAAAAAGGTTTTTATTTTCCATTTATTCATACAAAATACAATTAAATTCCTAACCATTGGTACCGCCTGCCCATTCCCCCCAGGCTGCGTCCACCCTCTCTAATCCTTCCCCACTTCCCTCCTCTTTCTCTCCTCCCCTCCTACTCTCTTTCCCTCCCCTTCTCCTCTAACCATCCTACTTCCTCCCTACTCCTTCCTCCCCTCTCATCCCTCTCACACACATGAACGCAGCATAGGGGAAATGCCCAAGCGTTTACCATGTCTATATTATCATTACCCACCCACTCACCCACCCACTCACCCACCCACCCACCCTCAACCCTCCCCCCCTCACTTCCCAGAGCAGAATACAGGGTTATTATTAAGAAAGTTAACAATAATGAAAAAGAAAAAAGAAAATAAAAGAAAATAAAAGAGAAAAAAAAAACATCATACTTAACCTTTAACTCCCCTTAAATTAAGTCATATAAAAAAATCTCTACAACAGTTACTATAAAATTTACTCATAAAATAAATGAAACTTTATAGTCCCATATTTTTTCTGAATATAATCTATCCATCTTCTCCATACAATAATACATCTTTCTTGTGTATGATCCTTCAAATAAGCAGAAAATTTTGCCATTTCTGCGAAGTTAGAAACTTTAAATATCCATTCTTCTAAAGTAGGCAACGAGTCCTTCTTCCAATACGAGCCTACTAATAATCTTGCTGCAGTTAATAAATTCAACATTAAAGTAGTTTCTTTGTCATTTAAATCCACAAAGATACCCAATAAGAATAATTGAGGGGTGAACTTTATCTTCCTTTTAAAAATCTTTTGAATATTCCACCAAATCATAATCCAAAAAGCCTTTACCTTTTTACAATTCCACCAAACATGAAAATATGTCGCATCCTCTACCAATTCTTTTTTAAAAATTCTATGGAGATTTTATTGGTTTTCTTTTTCATACATACGTTAATTTTTCCAATCAACGAGCTGTCTGGGGTTAGCTATGCTAATACATATTCGATTCCTAATCCTTCATTCTTTCCTCTAACCAACAATAAAATAAGTCCCAAATTTGGTAGTAGTCTGTGTCTTCTTTATCTTTCAGTCTCATAATTAATCTGTCCATCTCTGCACATTCCAATATTTTTCTGATTATTTCTTCTTCTGATGGCAATCCTTCATTCTTCCAGTATTGTGCAAAGATTATTCTCACTGCTGTAGTGATGTGTAAAGTTAAATATAAACACTGCTTATTAATCTTTTCAGGCATTATACCTAGTAAAAAAAGTTCAGGTTTAAAATCAACATGTTCACCTAATATTTTTTCTAACCACATATGTATCTTTTTCCAATAATCCTTAGCTTTGCCACATGTCCACCAAATATAATAGTACGTTCCTGCATTGTGTTTATATTTCCAGCATCTATCTGACATATTTTTAAACATTTCTGCTAATCTTGCTGGTGGCAAGTACCATCTATAAAACATTTTATACAAGTTTTCTTTATAAGTTGACATTGTTAATTTGTAATTTCTCTCCCACAGCATTTGCCACTTTTCTAGTTCTATATTATAGACAAAGTTTTTCGCCCATCTTATCATTGTTTCTTTAACTTGTTCACTTTCCATTTCCAAAATTAACAAAAAATTATACATTTTCTTAATTAATTTCTCATCTGAGATTAACAAAATCTTATCAAACACAGTTTGATCTTTATAGAATCCATACATTTTCACATCTTTTTCATATCCATTTTGCATCTGTAAATGTGCCCACCATGATTTTCCAGTTCTTGCTTAGATTTTAAATTCCCATCAATATTTAGAATATCTCTACACCAAAATCAAAAGATTATTAAAAATGAACAGAAAATCCAGGAAATGGAAAACAAAACCAAGGACATTGATAAAAAGGTGGAAATGTTATTGCAAAAAAATGAAGAATTAGAACAAGCAAATCAAGAGCTAGAGTGGGCCATGGCAATGGTAAAAATGGGAATAGCGGAACATTATTTGAGATTCCAAAATATTCCTGAGGATAGAGAAGAAAACATAGCAATTGTGATCATTGAGCTATTGGTGGAGGCCTTAAATGCAGACAGAGCAGAAATGCAAAACAAGATAGATCAGATATTCTGCGTGAATTCAAGCTATGCAAGAAAAAATAGACTACCAAGAGAAGTACATGTGAGATTCATAAAGAAAACAACAAGAGATGAAGTACTGAGACAAATGAGAGAGAAACCATTACAATACAAAAATAAAGAAATTGTCCTGAAGCAGATACCCAAGAGAGTAAGGGATACTCAAACACTATCATTTTTTAACTACAAAGTTGATTGCCAAAGGCATAAATTTCAGATGGCTAATGCCGGAAGGCATTCTTATAAACTGGAACAACACAAGATATCGACTGGATTCAATTTGGAAAGCAGAGGACTTTGAAGTAAGCAACTCTGGATGAAGGACTGCACCAAAAACAGGGGGATAAGCAAACAGGAGAGACAGCCCAAGGAGCAATGACACAAGCAGAACAACAGAAGGAGAAAGATGAGCAAGAGGGTGAAGGGGAAGGAACTGCCAGAGAACAAAGGATTATAAGATCAACTAGACTGAAATATAAATAATGGAAATGGAAATGGAGAAAAAAAATGTTTTTTTTTCGGTAAATGTAAATGGACTAAACTCCCCATCAAAAAGAAATAAATTTTTTAGGAAACTTCAGAAATTAAATACAAATATAATTTGTTTGCAAGAGACACACATAAAAAAACAACATTATAAACTATTGGAATACTCAAAAATTGGGAAGCTTTATTATACATCAGCACAACAACAAAAAAGAGGGGTTGCTTATATGTTAAAGAGACAATAGATTCTAAATTAGTGTACTTAGATGAAGAAGGAAGAATTGTAATGGTTAAAATATATCTACATCAAAAACAAATATTGTTGGTGGCAATCTACACTCCAAACAACAATCAAGAACAATTTTATCAAAGCCTACATAGGAAACGAATAGAAATAGAATACCAAAATATTTGTTTAATAGGGGACTTCAATGCGATAGTAGACGGAACAATGGATTTTAAAAGCAACCAAACAGGAAAACCTGCAAGAAGATTACCTAAGATATTTTTTATATGGCAGAGGAAATCGGAATATAAGATGCTTGGAGAGAAATTAATCCACAAAACCAACAACATAATTTCTATTCAAATAGTCATAAATCCTGGTCAAGAATTGATATGATTTGGATGACTTCTGAATTGAGGATGGATACACAGGAAATTGAGATAGAAATAGGTACATGGGCAGACCATAATCCACTAAAGGTGACATGGAAAGGAATACAGAAAAAACCAAGATGGACTTTAAACCAATCTATACTAAAAGACAAAGAATTTATAGTTAGCAAAAAAAGAAATGGAATTCTTCTTTAAAGAAAATGAAGAGGAAGACACATCTTTACAAAACCTATGAGATACAGCCAAAGTGTACTTTAGAGGCATAGGTATAACATATATGGCAAAGAAAAATAAACAGAGAAGACAGCAATATTCATTACTAAAAGCAAAATTTGGAAAGTTAGAAATAGAACTACAAAAAAACCCACAGAAAAAGACTTTGAAAAGAGAAATGGAAATAATAAAACACAAGCTAAATCTGTTGGACTCAGAAAAACTGGAGAACAGATAAAGAGAGCAAAACAAAACTTTTTTCAAAATGCCAATAAACCAGGAAGATGGTTAGCTTATAAACTTAAAAAACAGAAAGAGAAGGAAATAATACATAACTTAGTAGATGGGAAAGGTTGTTTACATTCAAAAATGAAGAAATAAAAAAGATAATTAAGGAATACTATAGGGAATTGTATGATAAAGAGGAGATTTCAAGAGAGAGAACTGCTCAATACCTAGAAGAAAGTAAACTGCCAAAAATTCCAGAGACATTTAAAACTATGTTAGAAGAAAGAATAACAATGATGGAGATATCAGAGGCTATAAAACGACAAAAAATTGGAAAACACCAGGCCCAGATGGGCTCCCGGCAGAGTTTTATAAAAATTTACAAGACATATTAAGCGAACCACTGAAAGACATTTTTAATGGACTCTTGTTAGAGGCTAAGCTTCCAAATACATGGATAGAAGCAAATATTACTTTAATTCCAAAAGAAGACTCAGACATGAGGTATATTAAGAACTATAGAGCAATTTCTTAATGTGGATTATAATTTTTTTACTTCAATAATGGCAGAGAGACTGAAAAAATACTTAGTTGAATTCATTCATAAAACTTGAGAAAAAATTCTTCAAGATTTAAACTCATTAATTTTGAACTTTGTTTGGCAGGGGAAGAAAGCTAGAAAAGATGAAAACACTACAAGACGCTAAGGAAAATGGAGGATTTGGGTTGCTTGAATGGGCGTTGTATTATCAAGCATCT